GCGGTGTCAGGGTCCCTCCCACCCGCGTTCCCACCCCGAGCCCCTCCGCGGAGGAGAAAGCGCCGCAGGCCCGCCGCGCGGGGAAGACTGGGGCGGGGGGTGATGGGGCGGGGTGGGGGGATCTTCTCTGGGACGCCTTCCAGGCTGAGGGGGTGAAAAGGCGGCCAGGGAGGCAGATCTCGGCCACTCTTTGTTCCGGGCAAAGCGCGGGGCTCAGCCCTGGAAGGAGGGGTGGGGCAGGACAGCCAATGGGGCGAGTCCGGGGCTCCGGCCCCAGGATTCTCCCTTCACGGAACACCGGTCCTGGCGTCCCCCGGGGACACGGAGGGCCTAGGGCTTTGGGGACACCCTACCTCCGCCCGCAGGTGTTGCCCAGGCCTGGCAAGGGCCTGGGGCTGGGCTCCGCGAAGGGCAGCAAGCCCGGGCCACACCTGTGTCCGAGACTCTGGTCGTTTCCCCCAGCCCCATCTTGGGGGGCTCCCCACACCCCTCTGCGGGGATTGGGCCCAAGCCGGAGAGGTGGCCAGTCACCCTGGCGGCTAAGCAGGAGGCTAATAACAACAACAGCAATAATAATAACGCGGTCATCGTCAGTCTCACCAGCCAGGCCCTGCGCGAGGCCAACCACGCTTGATCAAATCTCGTAATTAGGAGTCACTTTAATGAGTGTTATTACATTTCAGGAGATTTCAAGACTGGCCTTTTATTTTCTGTGGGCGGGGATCATAAATAGAATGAAGTATACGAGATTATTAATAAAAACATGAAGGGTCTACGAGGGGCTCGCGCGGCCCGGCTCACGAAGTGCGCCCTGGAGCTCAGGGCTCCGGCACCGCGAAGGGGGCCCGCGGGGTCAGGGGACTCAGCGCTGTGCCCCGCCTGCGACCGCCTGTCTCCCGCCATCCCATCTCCCCCCCACACCCGCCTCCTCTTCCTGGAGGCCTCTTCCTCGGCTCTGATAGGAAGCAGAAGCGCTGAAAGGAGGTCCCCACCCCGAGGCCTGGCTTGGGGCTGCAGTGCGTGCGTGTAGGCAGGGTCGGGGTGCGGGGCGGGGGGGGGGGTCGGTCTCCCCGAGGCCTTGGTCGCCAGCCGCTATTAACCTCCCAGAGCGCGGCGGCTCCTCCTGGCAAGCGACCGTTTTCGGAGGAGCCGGGACCTTCCCGGGGGCGCTTGGGGAGCTGCGCGGGCGGGCAGAGACCGGAGAGGTCGGATATTAAACAAGCGGGAGACAGAATGACTTTTAGCCGAGCCGGAGCGAGCAAACGCGGCCTCCCGGCCGGCCCCGCACGGTCTGCGAGCGTACTTGCATACATAGTGCCTGGTGTTTGCTGTGCACGCTGTTCGCCCGGGCACACCTGTACCGAGCGGTCCCGAAGCCCCACGGATTTGCCCTTTTCACTCAAGGGAAAACAGAAAAGATGGACCTCCTTGGAGGTCAGACTGGGGGCTCCTCCCTTGTCTCCCCTAAAGAAAGCGCTTGGCCGTTTACTTTGGGCGACCTTCCGACCTGTGTTGACCCGCAGATTCTGACGCCAGCACGAGGGTCGGGCGCTACTTCTTCGACCCCTTTCGGCAGCCGGAGGAGGAAGGCTCTCTAAGCGCCAAGGAACCCTGCTCCGCAGGCCTGGGGGTGGCCGCAACTGTCCTCCCCACCCCCGTCCCCGGGCTCCCAGGCCTCAGCCTGGTCTCTACCCGGCTAAGGAGGACTGTGGACACAGCTCTGCCTGGGCCTGGTAGGGACACAGCCAGGCCTGGGGGCGGGGGCCGTTCAGCTCCAAGGAGCAAGGACTTCCTTTACAAAGGAACTTTCCTCGGAGGGACATTTAGGAAACCGGCCTCCTGTGGGGGCAACGACCTGGTGGGGGCCCAGCCCGGTGCGTCACTGGTGCTGCAGCCCGGGTCCAAATCCGAGACACGTAGAACCATCCGTGGTGGTCCAGGTGGAACCGAGTGGCAGCTGGACTTCAGAAAGCGTGGCCTTCCCTTTCGGCCTGACTCTGGTCTCCACTAGCTCCTAGTGAAAGTGGCTGGCGAGCACTGAAGTGGATCTCCATGACTTATGAGTTTAGACTGTAGCTGTTGAATTTTAAAAATGTAATGAACACAGGAGCAAAACCAGAATCTCAGCGTTTGGAAGGTCTGAGAGCTCATTTAGTCCAATCCCCTACCGAAAGGCGGAAAAAAGCAAAAGAAAAGTCATATGCCACTGTAGGCCTAGTGTCTGCTTGCATGCCTCTGAGGACGGGGAACTCATTATCTTGCAGAACCATACATAGCCCCTTAACAGTGCTATGATTTGCCAACAGATTAAAAAACAAAACCCAAAAATGCTTAATGTTGCTATGTTGTCTTTTTATTAAAAAGAGAGGGAGAGAGAGGCCAATCGGGTAATAGAAGTTGTGCTAGTGGAGTTTTATTTTGTCTTTAGGAACCCCCAGATCTGTGCAGGGGTGGGGTGGTGGCTAGGGAAGACGCTGGGGATGGCTGGCGTGATCCCACCCCATTAATGCTCCAGGCAGCTGGAGCTCTGGAGCCTCCGCAGTGAGGAACTTGTCTTTGCAAAACCTGGGAGCAGCTCAGCTCCTGCCAGGAGGCCCAGCGTCCTTCCTCTTGGGAAGCCGGTGTGGAACTGAAAGGCCTAAAAGGTCGCCTTTGGAACAGATGATCCTCTCTAGTCTCTGAGCTTCTTTTTCTGGGAGAATAAAGCTTTTTTAAGCCAAGAAAGTTTGGAAATAGGGCAGTTGGGTGCTGTCCTGCGTGGCCAAGTGGGTTGTGGGTCCCGAGATCGAAAATCCCAACCGCTTCCAGCAGAGGCATCCGGTCAGCTCCGGCAAAGCCGGTCCTTTCCAGGCATCCGCCTTGGGATGTTGTCCATGTCCGTTGCTTTGGGGGTAAAGACAACAACCAAACGTAAAAGGGGAGAGCCTCTTTGTCTCAGGTCAACTAATAGTTCCTCTCCCCAGCGGGTGAGCGCCTCTGTCCAGCTGAGGAGCAGCCAGGGGGATGGAGACCTGTTGAGTCCTGCAAGATTTTAAATATTTATTCAACGGAAAGCACCGTACTTTGGAACACTTCCTTCTGGTAAAGAAATGTGTACTTAAATTACTTTGGTTGTTCTGTATTCACATATCCAAAGTGTCTTCATTATTTAAAAAAAAAAATTACGCTTCTGGCTACGAAGGTAGGTATGTGCACACCTGCTGGCAGAGCCGAAGACCACGAGCACCTGAGCACCGGGGAGGATGCCCAGGGTAGTGTGGCTGGACTCAGAAACACACTTAAAAAAAAACTCGTCATTACACCTTGGACATCCAATATTTTACAATAAAGCGTTTTTTTTTATTTAATGTAACTTTCAAGAATTTAAACACACAAAAATGCAGGGGGAATGTTCACAATTTTGATAGCCACAGTCGTAAATAGAAACATTCATTTCTTATAAGATTATAAATATTTACTACTGGAACTGTAAAACGCACATGTTTTATAAACTAAAAAATAAAAAAATAAAAAACCAAAAACCTTTGCTTCCTGCTCACAAGGCAGATCATTTCATTGCGTCTCCTAAGCAGTGCATGGTTATTCACAGAACTTTAAATCGCAACTTCTGCTTTTATAGCTTCTGTTTTAAAAAGGTTTACATCACTATGTACAAAGTGAAACTATTATCGCAGTGAAATAAAGAGGTTTAAGGCAAAGAGAGGAGTTCACTCTCAGTCCTCAGGGGCAGAGCCATGACTCCTGGCTCAGCCATGGTACACCCCCTGGGCTGTCCCAGTGCAGATGGACATTTGGACACAATTCTTTTTCCATACACTAAACAGAAGACAGTGTGGAGTTATACATATAGATATAGATAATGTGTTTGTTTATATATATGTACTTAATGGGGATATATTGAATATATTTAATTTACACTGTACCACACCTTCAAAAAAATAAAATGTATATTTTAAAAAAACAAGAAAAGACAAAAAGTGATAAGAAATGATTATTTACACATTTTCTTCCTTCCTCTAGATCCTGGAGAATTCTGAGTTCCTTTAAAAGTCAAGGTAGCCACATGTTCCAGAATTGTGGACTCTTACACGTCTGCTTGTGTGTGTGTGTATATGAGCATATATATATATATACGTACACACACACACACACATATTTACCTTGAAAGAATGCTCTCTATAGCAGAAGCGGCCACTTTACCAAAAAAAAGAAAAAAGAAAAGAAAAGAAAGAGAAGAAAAAAGGATGGGAGGAAATGCCAGTTCCCTCTCCAGGCCTCTGCCGGCCAGAGACGGAGGCAGCGGACCTCGGCCGCGTTTCTGGGGCCCAGGCGGCCCCTGGGCAGCTGATGGAGCCGCAGGGGAGTCTCTGGGCCCAGGCCCGGAGGGGTGGGGCGGCCTCACCGCCCGCGGGCTTCCGGCCACATACCCGACCCCTCGGCCCTGAGCCCCGGAGCGGGTGCCCGGAGGCGGGAGGCGGGCAGCTGGACTGGGGACAGAGACACAGACGCACACGGAAGCACGCAGGGAGGCTCGGGCCAGGTCTCGGCGAGGAGGGGGACCGGAGGACAGGGAGGGAAGGCAGGAGGCGGGGACGGGGGAGCCGGCCGTGGGCCCCTCGGCCCAGGCAGCCCGGCACGTCCAGGGGCGATGCGGGAGAGGGCGGAGAGGGCGGGGGGGGGGGGCCGAGCCTCCAGCCGCCGCCCCGTCATGGCCCTTTCGCCGCCGACTGCCGGATGGCGAGGCCGAGGCCGGGGATGCGGCCCCTCCTGCTGCCCTCACCAAGCCCACACGAACAAAGTGGCAGAACTCATAGACCAAGTAGGAGCTATTTATTCGGTTCACAGTCGTGTGAAATGCAGCAATAAAAATCTTTGGACTTCAGCAAGTTGTTTTAATTTTTTTCTTCTTTTGAAATTAAAAAAAAGAAAAAAAGTGTCCGATGTCCCATAATGGAACTTAGGGGATTAAAAAAGATGAAACCCTACGCAGCCCCCTTCGCAAAAAAAAAAAATCGTAAAATTAGCATAATCTCAAACATAAGAAAACTCAAAAAGTATTTTATAGTCAGATATTTTGGATTTTACACCTCCTGTAAATTATATATACAGAGAATATTGCAGAACCATAGCTAATACACGGTATTTTCACTATTAATGCTGGTATAATCTTTATACACTGGCCCTTTATTTATGATTTGAAATTATTGCATTGTTTAGCTCGGACTGAGACTGGGCTTGGAGCCCGCCCCCTACTCACTGTCTGACTTGCCCTCCTTGGCGGTGGTGGAGTGGTTGTACAGGCCCTGCGCCATGAGGTGCACGGCCAGCGTGTTCTTGTTGCCCGTGGCCTTCTTGATCTTGGCGCGCTTGTTCTGGAACCAAATCTTGATCTGTGACTCGTTGAGGCTGAGCTCCTGGGCCAGGCTCTGGCGCCGCTGCTCCGTCAGGTACCTGTTGGTCTGGAACTCGGCCTTGAGCCTCTGCAGCTGCTCCGCCGTGAAGGCCGTGCGGGGCCGCTTGTCCTCTTTGTTGGGATTTTTCTTCTTTGGTTTGCGAGACCTGGGACCTAGATAGGCATGGCGGACACAGAGAACTCGGGTGAGGAGGGCTCCAGTCCTGCCTCCTTACTCATGGGTAGGTCACCCACGGGCACGGAAGGATGCAGAAGCCGGGAGGGAGGCGGCTGCCCAGGTCCACCTGGCTGACCTGGAGGAAAGCTGGCCTGGACTTGAGATGGGATAGGGCGGAGCTCCCACCCACCTCTAGGACCCTCCCCTGGGGAGCGAGGATGTGGCCCAGGGAGTCTGCAGGAGGGACTGTGAGTGCCGGTGAAGGGCAGGCTTAGCGGAAAAGGCTCCGGATGAAAGGAGAACTCCTGCAGGAAACCGAAAAACCACAACTTTGTGGCCAGGTTTCTTCTAGTCCTTTCTGAGGTTCTGTCCAGGAATAAGGACAGGACGGGAGTAGATGCTGGAAGAGAGGTGAGGGGGAAAGATCGGGGCAGGGCAGCCAGAGTAGCAGGAAGAGCCCTGGGGGGTGTAAAGGGACTCCCACAGGGAACACCCCCAGGTCCTAAGGGCCGGGGGTGCAGGGGCAGGTGGGCCCCGAGAACAGGAGGGGCCCAGAGGTCTGCCTTCCCAGGGGAAGGCGCCCACATGTCCTTGCCTGAGTGGGGCTGGAGCACTGAGCTTCCTACCCCTTCACACCAGGTCTCCCCAGTCCCCTGTCCAGGAGAGGGGGCACGGCGCACGGTCGGGAGCGGAGGAGGCCGCTGGGGGCCCGGGTGACCTTGGACAGAGGTTCACACTTCTGACCCCTCACACCTCCTCCGCTGGGACGCCCTACAGCACTTGAGGTTGGCTTGGGACAGAGGTGGTGAGGCTCTCAGGACCTTGCCATGAGAAAAGGCCTGAAAAAGGAGAGCAGAGGGAAGGGAGCCAAGTGCGTTCTTTTCGTTGGTTTCAGAAGGTGGGCCCCGCGAGCATGTCTGTGAGGTAAGAGGTCTTTGCAGGAGAGAGTCACGGCTGCACGCCTGGGGTTCTTAATCTGTGAAGTGTGTGAATTGACTCTGGGGGGCTCCTGGCCCCAGCTTCTTCCGAGGCACCCTCGGTGGGAGGCTGGAGAAGGCTTGACCTCGGGCAGCCGGAGCACCCAGGTCCCCGCCCCTCGCTCCCCCGTCCCCCGCCCCTCTGCAGGGTCAAGGGGCTGCTGGGCCACGCAGCGCAGCGCTGGCGGAGGGATCCAGCTGCGAGCCCCCGCCGGAGGCAGCCGGACCCGGACCAGGAGCAGGAAGGTGGGTTCGGTCCTCAGCTCGCGCGGAGCGAGGGGTCTGGGACGGTCCGCAGGCCCAGGAGGCGCCGAGCCCTCCCTGCCCCGCCCACCGAGCCCTGTCCTCCCTCTCCGGGAGGCACGATCGGAAAGAGAAGGCCGTGCGCGCTGGCGAGGGGGCGCCAAGGGCTGATTCGGCTCACACTCCGGGCCTTTTAGCTTCCAGAGCACGCTCCCGCTCACACCCACCCACGCGCACTGCCCCACGCGCGCGCACACTCACGGTCCCGTCGCACCCACGCGGAGGGCACCTGCTCCTCGCCCAGACGCCTGGCTCTTACCCGGGGGGGTGCGGATCCGGGGCGGCGGCCAGCGTCCCCGGCGCGCCAAGGAGGAAGGTGGTGTCTCGGCGAGGCCTCGACAGGCCCCGGGCGGCCCCGCGCCTGCTCGGCCCCCCACCGAAGCCTCGCGTAGCGGAGCCGGTTCTCCGTCTCCACTCCCACCCCCCCACCCCCCCAAACTCCTCTGGTCCTGGGGCGCTCGCACACAACGAATCAGCCCACAAAAGATACCACTTCACGCAAAGAAAATCTTTCTAGAATCAGAATTTTTAGTTCCTTTTCTTTGATTTTCTTTCAAATCGCAAACACTTAAGGAGTCTCGGAAACAGGACCAAACCTCCGCAAGAAAACTCTGCGTTGCTGCTTTCTTAAACGCCAAGAAACAAATCTTATCTTACGGGTTTTTTTTTTTTTTTTTAAGTCCAGGAAGACCAGCCGCCGAGCCAGGCCGGGCTGCCGGGCTCCCGCGGGCCACTGGGGCCTGGCGCGGCCGCGACTTCGGCGCCGCACAAAGCCGGGCCGAGGCTCCTCGCCGGCCGCATTGTGAGCCTATATGTTAATTAAATATTAACAAAGGAGAGAGGCGAGAACAATGGAGCAAATTTAAAATCTAGCTGGAGAAATCTGGATTTCATCAGAGATATACACACCATCTCTGCGGGAAGGCGGCCAAGGGGTGACTTAGTTGTGCTGTGAACTGGGTAAACGACCCCCACAAAACAGTTGAGGGCTGGGGGGGGCAAGGTGGTCCGTTCTGCGCTGCCGGCTCGGGGACAAATGGAGTCTGCGCCTAATGGCGGTTCGCAGCCGCAGACCCCCATTTAATGCGGCTGATTTCTACAGGGGCATGGACTTAGCTTTTAAAAATCCCGGATCTATGAAAAATACGCCCAGAAGCTCTGCACACCCCCACGGGCTCCCGCCACATTCCCTCTGAAATCTGCTCCTTTCCTACGCAGAGCTGCCCCAGGAAAGCTCTGGGAAAGGTCCTTTCCATTTGGGGACTGCAGGCCTCCCTCCTCCATGCTGTGTGCGCGCCGGCTCGGCAATCAAACCAGGCACGGGGCAAAGGGCGCCTCTGTTTCCATCCCTTCCCTCCGCGGATCCCCCCAGGTCCCCTCACCAGCCCCAGCTGAGGAAAAGCAAACAGCCTTGCTTTCTTTCCTGGCCACATCTGGGGTAACTGGGTGGTAGAATGAGTCTAGGTCTGCGGTGGGCGGGGCGTGGGTCCCGGGTCTGGACTGAGTTGGAAGAACACGGAGAAGGGGTAGAGAGTGTGAGCTTCCGGGCCTGTCTGCCAGCCACCCCGTTCCCACCAAACAAACTCCAACCAAGGGAGGGATGGGCTAGGGGCTGCAAGGAGAGGCCCAAAAGGCAAGAGAGAAAGGACGTCCTGTGCTTTTGCCGTTCTACGAAGTCTGTACCCCCTTGTGAATCAGTCCTGTCCCCTCTTCTCCTGGCCGCTGCCGGGATCAGCGTCAGCCGCAAACAATGTCGCTGTGTGTACGTCTTTGTGTTGGGGGACAGGGATCCTGGTGTCTTCTTCCTCCGGGTAAATTCCCGCGCCAGCGCTGCCCCGCAACCCCACGGGCGTCCCCACGGCGGGCCAGGACATGGGTCCCCAGGACTCACCTGAAGAAGGTCGGTCCGAGTAGCGCGTGCAGTAGACCCAAGCCGGCCAGAGCATGGGTTGCGCACCCAGGTTGGCGCTGGCCTGCGAACTGTCCGAGTCCGAGCTCACAGACAGGTCGCCGCCGCCCAAGCCGCGGGCCTTGAGCGCCCCGTCCAGGGGGCCCCCGGGGTCTCCGCCTTTCTTGGCGCCGCTGTGCAGCGAGAGCGCCTTGGAGCCGCCTTCGCCGTCACCCGAAGAGTCGCCGCCGCCACTGCCGGGCAGCGGTCCGCCCGCACCCGGCGCACCCGGCGCGTTCTGCCGGGGCTCCCGGCCCGACCCCAGGAGCTGCTCGGCACCGCCCGCGCCGCCGCTTCCCTCCGCGCCGCCTTCGCCGCCGCCTCTGCCTCTTCCGGAGCCGGCACAGCACGTCCCCGCGTCCTTTCTCCGGCCGAACTCGGGCCGCAGGATGTTGTCGATGAAGAAGTTGGTAATGCGGTGTGGATGCTGGTGGTTGCCCGGCGCCTGCAGGACCGCGGGCATTATCAGAGCCCGCCGGCGGCCAGTGTCCGCGTCGCCCGGGCTGCTGCCGCCGCCGCCCGAGCCGCCGCTGGGGCTGGATTCCGGCTGCCGCTGCCCCTCCACCGCCGCCGCCGCCGCCGCTTCGCTGGGCTTGGGGTCATTCTCCTCCATGCTGTTGGCAACAATTCCCAATCGCTTCTCCGGGGAGTCCCTCCAATCAGCCCTCGGCCCGCCCGCTCTGCACGCGGAGACTCTCGCGGCCAGCCCGTGCCCCTACCCCGCCGAGTCTTCCGAGGGCGTGCGCGGCGGCCACAGCCAGGGCTGGGCTCCTACAAGTCGCCGGCCGCGCTCAGAGCGGAGCCACGTTCCAATCCACGAGTTGAGTTAGAAAATACCAAGAGTCGCCCCGCGCCCAGATGCCGGGAGATTCAAAAGAGTCCGGTCCTCGTCTTCGCAGCGCACCCAGGCGCTAGACAGTCACAATGGTCCAGCGTGGACCCGGGGCGCCTCCGGGCTCCGCGCTCCTCTCCACGTCCGGCTGCCTCCGTTCCGGCGCTGCCGCGGCGGCCGCCCGGGACTAGAGCTCCGCGCATGCAGGCAGCGCGCTCCCCCGCGCTCACGCCCGCCGGGGCCCACTCGGGCCGCCGCCGCCGCCCGGCCGCCCCCGCCCGCGCGCCCCGGCCGGCCCTCGAGGGTGCGGGGCGCGAGCGGTCAGCGCGCCCGCCGCCGCC